ATTTCTGACTTAAGTTATCCGGCTTCTAACAATTCAATGTAGTCACAAGTGCAAGGCCTCCAGCAGAATATTATAGGTCACAGTCGGCCAGCACATGAGTCTTTGGCTTCATCCAACGTGCAGCAGATCAAGGGCCTCGAACTAAAACAGTACTGACAGTGACCTCACTGAGGCCCAGCAACTGCAACAGCCCTAACAAGGTATTAGCAGGCACCTCTGTATACCCTCCAACTCTCAGCCTGGGTCCAAAGAAATACAGCTGCGCAGAGTGTTCTTGAGGGCGGAGGGCAAACCTGAAAGCAAAGAGGTGCCCCTGGCTAAGCTCAGGGGTGGAGCTAGAGGGTCAGGAATTCAAAGCAACGTAGGGCCAAAGTTTACAAAGATTTTTTTTACTGGTATTTCCTTTCTCTAACACAGCATTTCAGCATTTGTTCAACAAAGAAATTTCAATTTTAAAAAGATACCAGTGCATGCTTTCCCCATATTTATTTAATAAATACAAATATGGAGTGTGTGCCAACACCCCCCCCCCCCCCAAAAAAAAAAAAAAGAGCACTGCAAACTGCAATAAGGAGCCAATCTTGTTATTAAAATAAAAAATATAGTTAACCATAAACTTAAAGCTCACACAACTTAAACAACCAATAATCTTTACTGTAGTTTGTAATTTTACCACATTGTACATTGCAATCTGTTTGAATTCATTGGGTTTTTTTTAAGTGAGATGGCTATTTTTACGTATTAACCTGTTTGCTACATAGCTAACATTCAACTGTAGGATAAGAATTCAACCTGCAATTACAATTATGTTTTAAATAATCAGAGATGAGATGTTTATAAAAATGAAAAAGTCAATCAATTCACCATTAAAAGAAAGCATAGCAATCTGCAAAGAGACTATTCAATAACATGGACCAAAAGAGTACATAATTGTGCTAAATTCTTTCAGTAAACTGCCACTGTGACAAATGTTCTGTAGTTCTGTCCCCTGCAGCTGTGTTGACCCCAAACTGTAGTCTTAAATTCTGTGTCAAATACAGGTAGTGTCACATAGCAAATATAGCAGCCACATATCAGATTTTAATAGAATAAGGAGTAATTTTATATAAAAACCATATGAGGAACTGAACTGACATCCTGTAGCCAAGGGCAAATCCCTGGATGCTTGAACTCAGCAACAAAAACTACAGTATATATATACCTGTGTCCAGGTGGACAGACAGGATGCTCTTACACAAAGCAAAGTTTTATTCTTTTAAGTATATCTTACCAGCTACATCTTCAAAATTCTGCACCGAATAGCTTTTCTCTAGTCCTGGTTGGAATGAACCAAGCACAATACGCACGATTTCTTTTGAACTACACCTTATTCTTCTTTTAAATATCTGATCTCAATATTAACATATTTTGATAACGCTGTTCAGTGGCTCTTAAACATTGCCCAGTGCTATATACAGATATAGTGCTGGTGGTGGCGTTAGTCAGTAACAGTAGCCATCTTTCTTTTTCACCTGAGTAACCTAAACCAATTTCAATGATATTAAGGATCATCAAGCTGTCACAGAACCTGATGGGTAAGTTGTATTTACAAAGAAATTGTATCTTGTTTGCACTTGTACAGTACAAACATCTAGCTTTAGCTTTGGCAAATACACTTTGCAAATATAATATGCTAAAAATGTTTGCTGTAAAAGTTTGATGGGAGTTGGTTATCGTCTGGTTTTAGAAGGCATACCTTTGTGTTGCTACTCTTCTGATCATACTTCTTTTAGCAGCAGCCTGTCTGCAAGACAAGTTAAGGGGCAGTGTGCCATTTATGTATTTTCAATATTCCTGCATAACTTTTGCAGAGTTGCAGAAAGCATTTTTGTCCATTGTGACATATACGGCTTTATGAAGCTCAGTAGAGTAGAGATTTGTGACCTAGGACCCCTTAACTTACTGTAGAAGGGATCTATAATAACTGGAAGTCCAAATAAGCAAAAGGAAAGCATTTGCTGACTGAAGCAACACAAAATAGTTTTCAAAAAGTGTGTTAACTGGTTCTATTCTAGATTTTTATATTTGTTAATGACTTATAGCATAATTTCTTATGTATGTAATTTTGAATATTGAAATGTATATAAACTATAGAAATATACACTTCCTACTCTAAAAGGTATGAGTTTAGTTTGTCCTCTAAGAAAGTGGTATAGCCGTGTGGTTTTGTGTGTGTATGCATGTGAAAGCGCGTATGGCGGTTGTCTCTGTGTGACTGTGGGCGTCTAGAGGAGAGAGAAGCCTCATCTGTTACCAACCCAGCCTGGCCGGCCCGCCGCATGAAGTAGAACGACAGGGTGTCACCGCCGACGACAGTGATGGATGCCCTAAATTCTGTAGGCAACTTGGGCAATTGGACGCATTAACAACAGGCACCTGCTTTCCCCCATACAAATCTATTAAAAGATAACAGCAATGGCGGCTTCCACACTATTAGTAAATTATAGCTCTGTCTGAGTGTGAGGTAAGTAAGCCTCTTTTTCCCCACCTGCCCCCACCTACCTTCTTCTGCTATAGTTTCTAATTGGCAGTCTCACAGTGCCACCTAGTGGCAACAATTTATAATGTGAAGTAATGTTTGAAACGGAACAACAAAGTCAAAAGAGCAGACTAAGTTTGTCTAAGAATCTGATAATTTCACTGTCATGAAGATAAATTCCACTCTCATTGAGTTCAGTACACTGTAAATAGCCATTTACTGTTTACAAATACAAATTTGTATTTGTTTTAAATGTTATATACCTATGTGGTATGTGACTTTTGTTGCCATGATGCCAGGTCTCTCTTGGAAATGAGATTTTTAATCTCAATGAGCTTTTTTACCTGGATAAATAAAGGACTAATAAAAAATAAAAATAATTGGAAATGAATGAAAATAAAGATGTTTTTCCACGCTGGCCAAATTTCTATCATTCCAAACTCTTTCATTAAAAATATTTTATTTTCACACTTGCAATCAGAACACAAATCACACGCCCCCAAACATGATGAACATATGGTACAAGTTTAACATGGCAACAGCCCTTAAGGTCAGTTTTGTTTATAGCTGTTCACTGACTGTCATAGTGACTGTAGTGCGACCTTAAATCAGTGACCAGTTCATCTTTGTGAGATAGAGTGTGCATGTGTACGCTCAAGACTGTGTATGTGTGTCAGGTTACACAAGCAAAGTTGTTCTCCAGCTTTCTTCACGTCTTATGGATTTCTCTTGCAAACTAATTTTCCATAAACAAGCCTTTCTTTGGGCTGACTGGGCCAAATGGCCATTGATTTGGGACAATCTGGCCAATATAAAACCATTACGACCTACTCAAGACCTCCTCTATCAAAACATTAACACGACACCATTATGACAAATATCCGGCTATAGCCAGGTACGACGCATAAACGCGTGTCACATAAATTTGCTTTGGATAAATATTTCTGTGTCTGTGAGGAGGGTATGTGTTTGTGAGTTGGCCAAGAATAAAGGGAAGACATGACCAATAAATACTTTTACAGCAAGCAATTTGTCAGGATGTGTAAATGTCCCCAATTCCCAACAGCACTAGAGTAAAATTTACAGTCACTCTGGAAGTGACAATGCACAAAAAAGGACCACTTTTTACTCTCTCTCATCTCCCTCAGACCACTAAAACCTTCCCATAAATCTCCTCCGGTCCCTCCAGATGTCTCCTGTTGTCAGATATCATGCCTTGACAATGCCTTCCACCATCATTGTCTTGACAGAAATATGATATGTGAAACTGCAATGTCGCATCACTTAACATGATTTAGCCTAAGCTAGCCTGCACCATTTTAATCAATCAAAAATGTCACCTTTTTCCCTGTAATGACGGCAGAGGCAAAAGATCCCTATGTTGGGGTGATCTATAAGACTTATCTAGGCTACTGATTTATGACCACTGCCAGCTAATGTACTAAAGGAGCCTACTCTCTTCCTGTCATCAGGTTTTCTATCAAATTGGCGAATAAGTAGGCCAGTATTCCCTCATGGGCAAAAAAGAAAAGACACTTCATATAGTATGTAAACTCTACAATTATGGCATTATACATGCTTGTAACCCATCCATACTGCACCATCAGGTAAAACTATTATTAGATGTCCTTAAAAAGATGTCCTTCACATGCCAGACTCTGGATAATTGTTGCTACTATTTCAATGAGTTTGCTTGCTTATTCATGCTTTGACTAAACTGTGGCCTTTGTCTGTCATTGCTCATTGTTCTGTAAACATTCCAAAGTCTCAGTGGATACCTGAAGCTTTAAGACAAAGTAATCTGGCTTTTATACTTTTGAAACTTCTAAATACATGCCAGAGGAAAACAGTATATCACAAATTCAAAGATGCACTGCAGACTTAAACATGGTAAATATCAGTAACAGCAGCAATTATTAATGAGCTGTCCAAGTTAACCAGTTGTCTGATTATGCGTTCTTTTTTTAAAGTAAAAAATGGTGTAAATGAGAGTATGCACCTTTTTCTTTTTTAAAGAACAGTAGCTGCAATACCTTTATATTCCTGCATGCATCATCTGCGGCACTGGGTCCTTGAGGTTCAGAGTGTCTTTTGGTTTGTTCTGCTAATTGCATTATTAACATATAACAAAATCAATTTTGGCATTTGTAAACTAATTAAGAATAATATGAGATAAGAATAGCAATTTCTTGCACAAATAATTTTTTACCAAACACAAACAAACAATATGCACACAAACAAAGATGGAGGAAGAAATAAAGTCCAGCTGGTGTTGCTAGAGATTGGTGCAAACATCAAACAAAAGAACCAAATAATATTGGAAATTTATTCTTCGAACACACCGACAAAAAAGGTAAAATATATTTAAGAAAAAATATTATTTTTATTATTTATCCTTTACCCATTGTTGCACTTGCACCACTCAATATCTAGCAAGGCTTCCTAGATTTTATTTATTATACAAGTGGACTGGGAACGCTACCTGTAACCACAACAGAGTGACTGGATCCACATGCAAGCAGCTTTACACTGCCCAGCCCAGATGTTGCAAACTCTTTCAGAAGTGCCTCCTCTGGAGGAATGACCTCTGGCCTGCCCTGCCCAGTTTGTCCAAGCTCCCCACTTCCCCAGCAAAGAAGATCCATGTCCACCTCACACTGCATGTCCTGGGAAACAGACCAACAAAACTTAAACAAGTCAGCTTGGTACTTTTTTTCCATTTATGACTTTACCAGTATTCCTGACACATTTTGTTTCTGTTGCATGTTGGTTAAAATGAGAAAATGAGGTGTACACATAAGTAAACAATTTAAAATACTGTTATCCTTGGTGGGTTTGACATAGTGGCTCATAAACCAGTTTTCCATTTGTTACAGGCTCTAGTTAGTGTGACCCTCCAACACAAACAGAATAAAGCACTGCAACCACCAGCTGAAATCCAAGACAACAATGGAGATGTCATTCACCCTGCCCCTGAAGAAGACTGTCCTTTGGGGGGGGGTAGTCGGATAGGACTCCCACAATAGGACCCTGGCTTGTTAGTCAGCTGGCAGGGTAACACACGTTGGGTGAGTGCAAAGGTTAGTTGGATAGCAGTAACTTAAAGTAAGCTCACCAGATATACTCAGTCTTATCCATGATATCAGATTTATCTAGCCTCAGAACTCTAGTCAGAACTACAATAGGGATTCTGACCTTAACAAGTCTGTTTCTAGCAGCTTTTCAGCACTATTTAATTTGTAAAATATGTGTACACACACACACACACACACACCCATCACTAATAGTGTGTATGAAAGAGGAAATATTTTAATAGCTGTTTGTAAGCACTGGTCTTCAAGTCAGCATTGCGCTTGCATAAAACTAATCAGAAGTTCTCAGCCTTATTTGTAATGAACTGTGGATCACCAATATGCTCCTAAACATGTTTGTTTACAGTCTGCCCTCTGTGCTAATTAGAATGTGACCCTGCACGCACACGAAAACACAAATGGAAGGTGGGTGTATGTGTACGCATACACATACATACAAACTCCCCACAGCAATATTAACAGCACAATTCCATCCGACTGATATTGGAATTTTTCGAAAGAGCAAACCAATAGATAACCTATTACAAAACTATAAGAGATCAATAGCTAATTTCTTTGCATTGATTACCACTTGGACATTTAACATGCGCCCTGTGGCCACAATGTGTGTTCCACAAGCTTAGATCCCCATTGGCTCTCATGAGTATTAAAATTATCGATTCAGACAGAGGACTAAAAATGTCAAGCTGTTCATTAATCTTAATAAAGACTGGACTTGACCAAGGCACCCTTTCTCCCAATGCAGGGATACAACCTATCCAACTAGGAGGACATGGCAAAGATTAATGAGCTTCTACTGTGGGATGTGATTTAAGTCTTTGCGATTAATATATCAATTCCAAAAGAACGAGTCTTTTATACCAGCGATTATTTTTACCCAGGGTGCACCTAAAGACAACATTTTAAAATTCATATCAACTGCTTAATAGAAGTTCTTTCTTGCAAAATTTCAATGAAACTTCACAAAACAAGCAGTAATGAGGTCTTTGTGAGCTAGGAAGCAGCATCTGCCATTATGCTACAGATGGTCCTGTGCGGTCCATAATACACCATTTTTATCAGCACTGCCTGACAACTAGTTTCATCTCTCTCTCGTAGATGACTGTCAAAGCATTCGGGGCTGTCTTTAGCTTAATGAGGGCCCTAAGCAGGATATAATTTGCTCACTTTTTTCACTTTTAATTACTTTAATATTTCTGCCACACTTACACTCATATGTTTCCTGTCTTGATTTGCTACATTCATATCTGCTAATCAGAGAGGTATCACATTATTCTGAAGCAAAAGCACTTTGAAACTGGCTCTTTTGCATGCTCACATTAATATATCCTATTACTAAAAGACTAAAAGTGTTATTTTGATGGAGATTGTATTATAAATATTGCAGGACTTTACAATTAAGATTAATCTAACATCCTAATCCATACACAGAAATCTAGAAATCACAATGGCACAGAGATATACATTCTGCTAAATCACAGTGAGCATTTATTAAACATGTCCTCATTCCTTCCATTTTTCATGATGTAGAACTTACTTGGCTTTGGTTTTTCATGCAGGGCCTGCCCTTTTGTATGTTTCACAGGTCAATCTTAGTTATCTAAATGAACACTCCTGGACTTCAAGCCAATGTCATATAAAAGGGTTTCTGTCTTAAGTTTTACTTTTAATATAAATAAGTAATTCACACAGATTCACACACATAGTCTCTTCTAAATTTTGGAGAGCTGTAAAATAGGTTCCGTTCTAAGGTTAATTTTGTTTATTAACCAAAAAACAAGAGTTGGATTCCATGTTGCTGCAATCAAAATGCTGTATATTATGAAACAGTAAAAGTAGAAATGCTGGCAGTAACACGTAATTTGGTTGGTAACGACATGCCCAGCAACACCAAACACAAATGGAGAGAAAAAAAGGTGTAGCAGCACTCAGCAACTAGGAACTAACCTGTGGCACTTTTAAAGAGCTTTTCATTTTTTCCATCTTCATTTATCACTCCTCCTTTTCAACTATTCTTTTTCTTTTGGTGGTCTCTAGCATTTCTCACATTGTTGTGATTGTCTGGTTGCTCTGACTTCATTTACCCCTCCTTCCTTCACTGTTTTGACAATATTGCCAGGGTAACAGTCTCCATGACATTTTCTGTTTGCACTGTATCACCCAACTGAGAGTAATCAAAGTAAGGGACTTTTGGTGGTAATTTCAATATTACTAAATAACATTTCTAACTACCTGAAGCACAGTACACATCCCACAGACAGCAGTGTGAAATCATGTCTTCATACCACACAGAGTTTGTGAAATACATCACTGGGGAGTCTTAAAAGGTTTCCCTTTTCTAAATAACTCTCAGATACAGCATGTATAAATTATTTATCTTGGCCTACCTGAGTATCCTTGTCTCCATTTCTAGTATCTGCCTTTTGGCTACTTCCTGTTTTACTCTGAAGGTTAGTGTTTGTATCCTGTGTTAACTTTTACTTTCTTTCTCTGTCTTCTCCTAACGGTTGTCGAGAGTCTTAATTTCTCTTTTGCTTGTGCTCTGGTTTCCTTCCTGAATTTAGGACCTCACTCCTAACTCAATATCTGAATGTTTTTACTCATTTTTTTTAAATCTTCATCAACCACAGAATAACCATCAGCTGTGCTTAAAACGTGAATACAACATTATCAGGTGTTTCTCTTATATGCGTCAACATGAGATTTAGCCTGCTAACTAGACTGACAACACAAGTAGAGGTTATTTAACATTTCTGAACTTTGGATAATGCCTATTAGAAGAAATTAATACCAATAAGTCACACTAGAAGATGTAGCCCTAATGCAACAGCATGTGAACAGCTCAGCTTAAAAAAAAAGAGTACCAGTGTGTCAAATCAGGATCACCATGAGAGTTAGATACTGACAGAACAGTTATAGAGACAATGAAGGCAACAGTGTTAACAGTAAAGTTTTACATCCATATAGCAGCCATCCCAGGTCTAGTCAGCTGGTTGAAGATTATGTGGGCAAAGAGAAAGCGTGTCTAGTCATCCATTTATGGACAGTAACTGTGAGAAGGATTAGAGTTACTGTAGGTGGTCCAGCCTACATTCAGTCAGTCAACCGAGGGAAAACACTCTCTGACCAGGACAGACAGATTCTATGTTAATTAATGAACTGGGGAGATAACACATAACATGATTTTCTCAGTGAAAACTAGCTAAACATGGCTAACAGTTAATATTAACCATTGCATAATTAGTTATGCAATGGTTAGCTATAGTTAACCTAGACTAGCTATAGTTAGTCGCGGATACAAGCGGCAGAAATGAGCTTCCTCTGAAGGGTGGCTGGCCTCTCCCTTAGAGATAGGGTGAGAAGTTCGGCCATCCGGGAGGGGCTCAGAGTAGAGCAGCTGCTGCTCCACATCGAAAGGAGCCAGCTGAGGTGGTTCGGGCATCTGACAAGGATGCCCCCTGGGCGCCTCCTGGGTGAGGTGTTCCAGGCATGTCCCACCGGGAGGAGGCCCCGGGGCAGACCCAGGACACGCTGGAGAGATTATATCTCTCGGCTGGCCTGGGAACGCCTTGGTATTCCCCCGGATAAGCTGGAGGAGGTGGCTGGGGAGAGGGAGGTCTGGGCCTCTTTGCTTAGGCTGCTGCCCCCGCGACCCGACCCCGGACAAAGCGGATGACGATGGATGGATGGATAATTAGTTACTATGACTCTGTTCAACAAAATAATAAGCTAAACATAGGGCTGTGCTGCAATCACTCTGAAGTGGTCTGGAAGTTCCTGAGACACAAGAAAGCACAGCCATAGATTTTTCAACAGACGCTTGTTTAAAAAGAAAAACAAAAGGTGCCAAAGAGATATGAAAGTCTAAACATAAGTTGAAGATAATAAATATTTATCTAAATATAAATAATTTGGTGATAATCAGGCCAGACTTCACAGTTTTCCTCGCACACAAGTGGACACACTGGCACATTACTGGAAATATTAAGCACAATGAGCACAATCCATATTAGGTAGACTTTGTACTAGGATGTGCATCAGACGTTTGCCTTCTATTCTCTTCTGTCAGGAAAGTGACATAAAAAGAATACTCTGACACACTTGTTTTTGCAATAATGATGCTCCTGTTTTGTTTATAATAACAGATTTTTGTTGTGCTTTTCTAAAATTTGTCCAACTTCAACCTGCGGAAAGTTTAGTCTGCTTGTTTGTTTTTCAGTTTTTTTGCTTTGTTTGTTTCAGTGGAATTATTATGAGTTAGGTGTATGATATGAGTTGGGTTAAGTAAACACAATATAACCAGTTGTCAGAATGTATGCCAGCGTCAGAGGATGAGCTAGCTTGTCTCCATCCTGGCAAAGAGAAAGGTTCACATGAGCATCAGTAACCTTTATTTATCTAGCGTCAAGCTGTAGCTGAGAAAGTACTTCTATTGCTACATTCAATATATATTGTTCTGCCTGTCACAAGATAAACAGTGCTAACGTCTTAGCTTCATTGCCACAGTAATGTGCTACTGCTATAGTTGACATTAAGTGAACCATTTAGCTTTAACCAACATAAACTTGACATTTCTGTGTTCAGCATGGAATGTCAATATGCTACGTTGAAAGAACGCACTTACCTAGTTGTTTTTGTTTTGTTTTTTTAAGTTCCAGTCCGATGTTTCCCTTCTTAGCATTTTGGTGACTCAGATTCCCATCATCCCACATTCCAAGAGAGGTTCTGAGCATGTCCATTGTTAGTCCGATTAATCGTAATCTGACCAGTTTAGTTTAGTTTTTGTTTTGTTTGTTTGTTTTTTTACATCAGATTTGATTTATTATTTTACTTCACCTTTCCAAATGAATTTGTAAATTAGGGTTAAACAGTTCACTTTCTCTCCAGAAGCATTTGTCTGTCATTTATGCCATACGATATACAATAATTCTGTAAAACTCTGTAAAAACCTATTTTTTTATGCTGAATATGTTGCTTTTTTTTTCTTTTTTCTTTTTTGCTATTAATGTAATTTGTTAGCATTTAGGGAATTAAGGAACAGGCTGCTTGCATTGTAGATATAACCTTTATAGAAAGTGGCTGTGTGAAAAGTGTAAGTGCAGAAATTTGGATGCTTGAATTTACCTTGAGTCACTGAGTATATAGCCTATTTTGCTGTCCCTGGGGATAACATAAAACGTGGTTTCTATTACAGTTATATATGAAGGCAATTTACTCAGTGTACAAGAATATAACAAATATCAATTTGGGACTTATATCATTTATATAATGCAGATTTTGCAGTGGGAATGGGTATAGTGAATACACAAATTGCACTAAGGAACAGTCGTCTCCCCCTCCCCCCACCCACCAAAAAAAAAAAAAAACTTTCTTGATGATATCATTTATATGATATAAATGATAAATGATGTGGTTCTTATTCTTTTTCTGCTGCTCCCTTTAGGGGTTGTCACAGCAGATCATCTCCCCCTGTCACATACTCTTCCTAGCATCCTTCTCTGTTACGTCAGCCTTCTACATATCCTCCGTTAAAACATCCGTGAATCTTCCCCATGGTCTTCTGCCCGGCAGCTCCATATTCAACTTTTCTTGACCAGTATAACCACTGTTCCTCCCCTCCACATGTCCATGCCCTACCAGTGACGCCTCTCTAACTTTGAATCAAAATGCTCAACCTGAACTGTCTCTCTGATTAACTCATTTGTAATCTTGTCTTTCGTGGTCACTCCCAATGAAAATCTTAATATTTTCAATTCTGCCAACTCTGCCTTGGCCTCCTGTTTTTCTGTGAGTACTACCGTCTCCAAAACACATATTATGGCAGGTCTTGCTACCAATTTGTAAATCTTCCCTATTGTTTTGTGCTATTCTTATTTTGCAAATCACTAGTGAAAATAGTCTCCACCCACTAAACCCTGCCTCCATTCTCTTGTTCTTTTGCTTATTTAAAGGTATTTAAACTCACCTGCCTTCACTACCTCTGCTCTTTGCAGCTTTACTGTTACACCCATCTCACTCTCATTCACACACATGTATTTTGGCTTCTACTGACTTTCATTTGGCTTCTCCCCAGAGCATACCTCCACCCCTCCAGGTTCTCTTCCGCCTGCTCCTTATTCTCACTGCTGATCACAATCTCTTCTGTAAAGATAAGGCTAACCTCATCTGTTAACCTGTCCATCACCATTGCAAACAAAAAGGGGTTTAGAGCAGAAGCATGATGTAATCCCACCCCACATCCTGAACCCATTGGTCACACCTACTGCACACCTCACCACTTTCCTGCTGTCCTCATACATGTCCTGTACCACTCTCATATTCCTTTCTGCCATGTCTGACTTTCTAATGCAGTAGTTGTATGTTTTCTCTAGATCTACAAACACGCTGAGCATTTCCTTCCTTTAATTTCCCTTGGGATTAATAAAATATTCTGATTCAGATTCTGAAGTATTCTTGCTCTATTTCCTCTGTCCACCAGATATACCAGAATACCATCTGATGCTGCCTAGCTACATTGTCCCCTAACACAAACTTGCAGCCTCTTATCTATTTCGGATTGCATCTTCTGGATAAGATATAGTCCACCTCTATGCAGCTTCCTCTACTCTTACACATCACCCTATGTTTCTCCTTCTTCTTAAAGCATGAATTTACCACAGCCATTTCCATACAATACCTAGGGAATGCACACTGACAACATTCAACATCATGCCTTCGATTTCCAACATCAAACTTATGATCAACGCTTCACACTGACAACACTATTCACATGGTCTTCCAAGATTACCCCTACTCCCTTTTCTCTTTCTCCCTCACATATTTTCTCAATCACCTCTTCCTTTGTCTTTGGCCAACACAGTTTCTAATAACACCCTGTTGGCAAACAGCACCAGAGGTGGTTGTTAACCCCAACCAATTTGTTATGGAAATCTCATCCTTTATGAGCTACATGTTTAATTTGGCTAAGATTTTACATTGCATGCCTTTTCTGACGCAATCATCCCCATTTATCTCTGCTGACCACCCAGGTCCCTAATGGTGGGTGAGGCCCTGTCAAGCCTGGAATTAAACATTTGTTCTAGTTTACAACTTTTTAAAATTCCAAGTAATTAAAGTCTAAATTAAATTGTCTGAAGCATTGGTTGGGTGATTTAAGTTTGATTCCAAAAAATACTGGAGGCTCTTTCATGACAGTGGATTAGTCCACCACATACTTGGACTTCGCATCACAGCTAATTTATTCCATCCACTTGACTGCTCATGTGCACTGTGAGTTGTGTCTTTCCCCATTAAAGCTATTTCAGGGTATTAAAATAAAGAAGAGAAAGCAAGGAGACAGAAAGAAAGCAAACTGAGGGAAGTCAGATATTAACAAATGTCTTTCAAAGAGAAAGAAAGTGGTGAACACCACACAACTAACAGGTTAAGATTGAATTAGCTAAGAGGAGTTGTTAATGACAGTGAGTCAATGTAATATGTGACACTGTATCTATTAAAATGTTCTAGCACAACAACAAAAAGGCAGATAATGGAGTACCATTATGCACTCCATACTGTACAGTAATGCCACTGTTTTGCACATGTCTCACTCTGTATATTTTATTTTATTTATTTTATATATTTTATTTATTGTTTACTCTATTTAATTTGTAAAATATGT